GATCTTCGTATGCACTCATGGTCCAAAGGTTTGGCGGAAGAGCAAGCCAGGACAACGGTACAGTTTGCTTCGGTTCAAGCACAACGGTAGGGTCAGGTACATGTCCACAAATTGCCATATCCGGTCGAACCGCGGGTTTGTGAATTTTCATATCTTTATGCAGCCAGACTTATCCGCTCATTGTTTCCCTAGTTATATTTGTAAGTACTCAATTAGAAAAGATGGAGTTTATTACAAGCATGAGAATAAGTTCTTTCCTTGGCGGCAGTTTCCACGCTCTGCCAAAGGACGCAGTAGTTCCAAGGTTTCATTGAGAAACATTTTGAAGAACTAACTTTTATTTTTTAAGAAATTGTACGGACTGTATCGCTACTATATAAATCTAAGTATTTTGATTTGATTTAATGATAGGCTACATCGGTGCACATATTTCTTGAGCGCTTATTTTTTTTTGTGACATCTCTTAAACTTTTAAATACTAGTTTATGGTCCATATAATGAAACATAATGGTTTGTATTAGTGTTATCAAATTAAACCTACATTATGCATATACATCGTTAACAAAACAAACACATAAACTAGATCCATTCAAAACAGCATCAATCAATATATAAAGCCATAAAGGTGATAATAATAGACCACTAATCACTCAAACTAGATATTTTTGTAGTAAATAAAATACTCTAAAGTTTTAAAAAATCAAACAATAGGAATCAAATTTGAAGAATCACGACAAAAAGGTTAATTAACTTTTAAAAATAATTTAGAAAATTGATCAACAATGGGAACAAGTAATTGAAACAACCATATGATTTTTCTGAGTCAAATTACAAAATCTAATTTGTAATAAAATAATGGCCGATGACTTCAACTTTAAGAAAAAAAAAACTGATAAACAAAAGTACTACAATTGGCCAATGACTTCAACCTAAAAAAAAAACACAGACACGCACAAGTATGAAAATTCGAAAGAACACACTTGATAGAGTTTAATAGTTTATAATGTCCATTAATGCTGAAAATCCTATATCGGTCTAATTAGTTTTTACTATTGGAGTCAAATTAACTTATTCACCTCAAAATTACAGGTTAAAAAATCGAGTAAAAATGATCGAATAAAGCTTTTTCGGCCTTTAATTCAACGAATACATTTCTATAAGGAAACTCAAGGGACATCTACTCTTTTAAGAACTCCGATCAAAAGCGTCTTTCGCATAAGCTACATCATTTTCACACTTTTTGATTTCGAAAGATGTTGCATTGCTTGGCGTCAATATATCAGCTCATATATCTTTCATTATCTTAGGATTGCTAGATCATACCATAGTCACATATAAAACACATGTTCAATGATAAAAACCGGTAACACTTTGTCTTTTGTAACTAGCATGGCCCACCGAACAATGTAATTAAGTCTCTGTCATTCTTAGTAAAATTACTCCCTCTGTTTTTTTTAATTGATCATTTAATTTTTGTTTATTTTTAAACTAAAATATTATTTATTATCTAATCACCTAATAGAAAAACAATCTACATAATATAAATCATCAAAAAAAAGTAATTAATATTGCATTGAAAACTGAAAACATCATCTATTTAAGAACAAATATAAAAGCTTAAAACATCATAAAAAAAAAACAGAGGGAGTACAAGTTGAGTACAAATTTGAATGTGGCTATATGAATTTGTACAATAAAATATCTCTATCTATCTATCTCTCTCGATCTCACTTCATATTTCACACCAATCATGGCAGCTTCTGCAACATCTAAGCTCCTCGTTTCTGACCATCCAAACCTGAAGCTGCCGGAGATTTTATCCCTCTAATCAATCTCTAGGACCTCCATGGACCCCATCGAGCCGACATTATCCATCAGTTTGCTCATGCATGCTTCTCTTATGGCTTTTTTCAAGTTCACGAACTATTCACTTTCAGTCTCCTTTACTCTGTTTTTTTAGT